CAGTTCAAGCTTCAAGCTTTTGAAGCGGGATCATCGTCCAATCAAGCGGTTCATGGCAAATAGCCAACAGAAGCGCAAGAAGCGTGTTGACAAAAGAAGATGCAAAATAACTCTCCATGAATTGAGAAGGATCAAGCAGGAAGCTGCCAGGAAGCCATTAGCCACCAGTTGTGCCATATTTCAGAGCTGCAACATGTCTGGAGTGCCGAGAAGCACAAGATGCTCAATACTCAGGGACCTGGCCAAGGTAAGGAAAGCCGAAAAAAGGCCACCTTTAAAGACAAAACGTCAAGATTGGGCCAAGAAATATCTAAAGACTGATTTCTCCAAGGTGTTTTGGTCTGATGAAATGAGAGCGAGTCTTGATGGGCCTGATGGATGGGCATGAGGCTGAATCAGTAAAGGGCAGCAAGTTCCTTATCGACTCAGACTCCAGCAAGGTGGAGGTAGAATAGTGGTAAAGGCTGGTCAAGGCTCATCAAAGATGAGCTTGTGGGACCTTTTCGGGTTGATGATGGAGTCAAGATCAACTCCCAGACCTGCTGCCAGTTTCTGGAAGACACCTTCTTCAAACAGTGGTACAAGAAGAAGTCGCCATCATTCAAGAAAAATGTGATATTCATGCAGGACAATGCTCCATCACACGGATCTGGATCGCAAACAAATCACGACACTGACAGAATCTATGGATGGAAGGCTTTTGAGCGTCACGGTGAAGAAAGGTGGCTATATTGGTCACTGATTTGTTTTTTGTTTTTGAATGTCGCAAATGTTTATTTCTGAATTTTGAGGTATTTTGGTTTACCTGGTGAAAATAAACAAGTGAGATGGGCATATATTTGTTTTTTTATTACATTGCCTAATAATTTTGCACAGTAATATTTACCTGCACACATAAACATCTTCATAAAATGACCAAATCTAAAAAAACAAAAAAAAAAAACAGATCAACTTCCAAAATTATGAAACTTTGATATTAGGGAGTCTTATAGGTTGATTTAGAACTCCATGAGGCCCAATAATAAAAATAATCCTCAAAAATACAACTTGCCTAATAATTCTGCACACAGTTTATTTTAGATACTGCTAGCATACATTGTTCGCAGGGTAATTTGCTCTTCTTTAAATGATCACTTCTGCCAAGAAATGAAAAACAAAATAAATCAATAGAAAAGTCAACTTGGCCTCAAGCTCGATATTTTGATCTCATAAAGTCAGTTATCATGTAACGTGTAGACATTTTTTTTTAATGTTCAATTAAAATGGCAAATATAATGTTTTGATTTTTTGGGAACTGGGAGGATTGATGGCTGTCCAGCTGCTGATGCTGAAATCTGCTGAAATCTCTATTCCTGGGAGTTAGTTTCCAATTGGAAAAGCATTAGGAAAGCTCCCCTGAAGTTGCAGTTTCCCAGCTTTAACAGCCCAGAGGATAGCATCCAATATGGCTGCCAAACCTGTAGACATTTTTAGCACTGCTAACACTTTTCATGTCAAAAGCATGGTTGTATCACATCTTTTTGTGATTATGTTCCTTTAGTGAATAACTACATGAAACAATATTGTATCAGCTTATATTGTTTATTCTTGTTAATATTGAAACAAGTTCGAAATATTGTGTTTTTTCTATTTGGCCTAAAACATGCTCACTTTCCATTTAACAACATTCCAAGTTCTGACCTCTGAGATAACCTGTAGGTTATTGAGCTATATTTTGCCTCTCTAACTGAATAGTTAGACGGCCAACTATTCAGTGAGATACCAATCTTCAATCAAAATATAGTTACTAACAAACAGGTGTTGCATTTTTTTTGACCAGCCCCCTTTTTAACTTTAAACTTATTCCTTAGCTTTATTCTTTTCGTTTTGGCTTGCAAAGCATTTCAGGTGGCCAATCTGACCTATTAAGGGTCAGCCTCTAGGCTGGAAACTGCTCTAAAGTTGCAAGAATTCTTAAGTTATTGGATCAGATTTGCAAACTGATCTAGAGTTCAGTTGGTTGTTTGTAGGATGTTTCTTCTTGGCATGTAAGGAACGAGAGCCTGGGAGACAGCTGCATGCCTTGTCCGGACTGTTGACCTCATGCGACTGCTGAACTAAATACCAGCTTCAAGAGTGTCTTTTAATAATATTGTGAGTTAACTGATTTGTATTCCCAGTTTTTATTCACGGCTCTGTTGTATTTATTGCAGGCCCAAGACAAAAGGAAAGCGCTGGAGGAGACCAAAGCCTACACCACCCAGTCCCTGGCCAGCGTGGCCTACCAGATCAATGCCTTAGCCAACAATGTCCTGCAGCTGCTGGACATCCAGGCCTCGCAGCTGCGCCGCATGGAGTCCTCCATCAACCACATCTCTCAGGTCAGAAAAACCCACCGCAGGCCCAACAGCTGCAAAAAGCTGTGCCCTACCGTTTCTTAGTATCTTAGTTTATACGCAGACGTTGCTGTTTTTAAATCTCAGCTTGAACCACAGTTCCTCTTACTGGTGCATCATTCTTATTCAAGACTTGTCTGGCTGTTTATTTATGTCAGAGGAAATGCTCTCTTTCCTTTGTTTAACTGATGCGACTCTAAAAGGTTTTCATTTGCAATGATTGGCCAGTCATTTCCGGTACGAATAATAATTAGTTGTTTTTTTTTGTTTTTTTTTACTTGTATGTAGCTGTAGAGAAGGAGTCACCAACACAGCAGCAGGTAGCCCACTGGAGCAACATCACCTCATTCTATAAAGGGCATAGCTCACCAGTTAACTATTCCTATAATATGATTTTATTCTATTGCTCCTCTTTTTATGACACTCATCAGTGTGATATATGTTTTGTAATACATAAACTTTTATTAAACTTTAACTCGTCCAGTTCAAAGTTCAGTAAAAACTTACTGCATGTAAGTGGGTACACTTATGACTCTGTACCTACTAAGCACTAAGTAGCAGTGATCCCTGCGGTGGAGCGACTGTGTTTCATAGATCCTAACTTCAGTGCATTCACCAAACTCTGAGCAGTCGAAAATAAATTCAAACCTTTATAAAAAACTACAGATTTAGACATAACTTTGGCTGAGATGGAGAAACCGCTGTTCAGTCACCACAAACATGCACATCCCCCTCAGGTGAATATAAAATCATTTTCTCGAGGTAATTGTAGAGGTTAATTGTGGTTTAGAAACGATGAGGTGTTGTATCTTAAATCCTATCAATGCTAAAGGATTATAAATAAAATAAGAAAATACAGTAATTTTATTATTATTAATTTGTTTTTCCAGTTACATTGAATTCAGTCATTTCCTGCTCCACTCTCCATGACAACCACCATCCACATGGTTGTTGATGTAAAAAAGAGTCTAATTTAGCTCGGTAAGGTAACCCAAATGGAGAACTTCCAACCTAGTTTACATTCTTACACATTTGTCCTCGCTCATCTGATATGAGTGGGAGTTCCACTGTTCCTTCGCTATATTTAAACCCCTTCTTGTGACCTTTGTAGATCTGGAGTTAAACATGAACTAGTAGTATCTTTTTGGGTCAGATGAAAATTGTTTATGTTTTCCTATTCTTTTTTTTTTTTATCAATTCCATGCATTTTAAAAGTACAATTTCCATTTAACCAATGGGAAACCATGTCAACATTGCCTCCTTTTATAACATCATCATCTAGTGGTATGTTTCTTTCGTTTAAAGCTCATCTGAGCTTTAATGCTGAAGGTCAGCCTGCATACTTTAGTTGCAGGCTGACCTTGTAGTTGTTACCATCTCTTTCTTCTAATGTGGAGTATTGCCACCCTCTCCTTTACTGCTTATGGAAATAAAATTAGCAGAATTCATTAGACCGCAGTTTTACACATGCCTAAATCACGCAGAACATAAAACAAAGCAGTAAGTCCAGAGTAACCAATAAAACTAAAGTGACCATAATAAAAACTCTAGTACAAATGCTTTCCAGTATTTGCATAAACAGGATGGATAAGGTAGGAAATGTTGGTCATTATGATAAGGGCCTCCTGTGGGATACACACATACTCTGCTGTTGTATTACTGCTAACCATGCTAACATAAGGATACAATCCAAGATGTAAACTATGTGAGGATAATTTCTTTAATTTGAAGTAGTAAAACACCAACATACTACCACTGAATCTCACAGTGACATCACCTTCCCTTATTTTTCCATGGTTATAATTAATGCCAGAGTTTCGTAAAAACTATTGATGAAGAACCAACCACAAAGCTATCGTATCATTTCTTTCTTGATATATAAATAAGTTTTAACAACCTCACAATTGATATAATAATAATAATAGTAATAAGTGCCGTTTTACTTTTTCTTGTATTGTTTCAATAAACCTTTATTTTATTAATGGGAGATCTTAAAATCGTGAAAATTCTATCTAGTTTTTAGACATTTGTTTCCGTTTCTAATGTCTAAAGTGGAGCTGTTCAACAGGGGAGGTCCGCGATCCCTAGGGGGTTCACGGAGGTACTGCAAGTGGGTCGTGAAAGTTTTGGTTGTTTAGACTTTTTTTTTTTTTTTTATATATATATATATTCCCGCTTAAATACACATTCACATTAATTCAACAAACTGTAGTAAAAAGATAAAGTCATCAATGCACACATTCAGCGACACATGGGAGCTCTTTCAAGCTGGGAACCGTTTCATTCACAACACCTGTCCCATCAACCAGGAATCAGAAATACTTTAATGATCCATGGGTGAAATTACTTTCGTTACATTACTCCATCTGTCATAGAGTGACTATAGGACCAGTTTGATATAACACAATTTCATACTATGTATATAATTAGGGGGTCCATCTCGCTCATCACCGGCTTCTTCAGTTTCCTATATTTTCCTATACTTGAGTCCTCCACTCAGTGGGACAGTCTACATATAAAAGTCTTGATGCCTGTGCATTGCTTCTTCATCGATCTGTTATATGTATTTTTGTCCATCCAATATTACTAATTCTTCACCTACTCGCCAACGAGCTCATGTGCCAATTCTTACTTTTGTCCATTTATAAATCTGTTTATCCTTTATCTATTCATAAGTTTGTTTTTTATTCATAAGTTTGTTTTTTATTCATCCCTTCATCTAAAGGCCGATCAGTCAATTTATTCTTCCACCCATCTGTTCACACCTGGGTTTATTTTCTTTGCCATCTCGTTTTCCCTGTCCATCACAGAGATCAGAGTGAGAAGGTGTTTGACATGGTCATTGTGTAATTTGTGACAAACATGGTGTGACAGCCCTGATTCAGATCTAGGCTTATCTGAAAATATGTCAGACCAGTTTGAACTGTAATTTCCACATGACTTTGACATTCAACACCCCTTCAACACACACAGACATCCACACGCTTTCAGTGCAAGGCATGCTTGCATTTACCAGAAAATGCATCAACTGCTGCATATGTGGCCTTTCGTTTTAGTTGTGTTGACACCCTCCCCTCTATCATTACCCCTCAGCGTCTCTGTAACACTAAGGCAGGAAGTGCTGCAAACTGAATGGTGTAGCCAGCAGGGATTTCTACCTTGAGCTGTGTGTGAAGTGGCTGCTAAGAGCCTGGGAACAGGGAGCTCTTTGTAATATCCCTATAATGCCCCGGACAGAGGGGGAAGACGGGATGTGCATGTTTGTGGTGTTTGAACAGTGGTTTCTCCATTTCCTGCAGCTTTTTCACCTCATTCAGCTTCACCAAATCAAACCCACAAATGAGCATTCAACTGTGACTAGTCTTCAACCTGTAGGTAATTAAATTATGAGATGCAAAAGAGGAGGTTTAACTTCTAAAAGGGAGTATTAGAACAAACTCCTTACATTTCTGTTTTTGTGTTTATTAAAAACCAATTTTAATTTTACTTTGCTCTATTCCCTTTGTGCCAAAGTATTCAGTATTTTGCCACTGATGGGGCTATTAGAGCCAGGCTGTCATCAAAGGAAAGTAAATTGGCTTTTATGGTAGAGGAACAACCCTAGAACCACAAAGAATCAAGCCGATCATAAACAGACTGCTGATGCAACACCTGTATTATAGTCCATATTGCTGCATGCTTCCCTATACCTACATTTAATGGAAGGAAAGCTCCCTTTATAGTCCAACAGTGGGGTAGTTTGTCTTTTGCATTTAACCTTTCCGTTAGGTAGTGTTGTGCTGTCAAACTGATTAGCAGACGAGCAGTGTTGTGCGGCTAAGGGCTTAGGGACCCAGAGGGACAGACTGAGGCTTGACCCAGTAATCTTTCAGCCACTCTAGGAAAAAGATGCTCAGCTCTCCACTAGGCCACCACATACAACCAAGAAATTAGCCTCTGACAATTAAAGCTCAGTGGATTATTTGCAACTGGCCAAATTAAAGTAAAGTACCTTTTGAAGAAAATGTTTTTATTTCATACTTTGTAAATGTACCAACTGTAACGCATGGTGGTGGCAGCATGACACTGTTTCGACAATGATCCTAAGCAAGCATCAAAACGGGTGTCGTTTCTGTGTCGTATCTGTAAGGAGTGGATATAAACTTATCATTGAAACTTTGGATTTTTGAAATCTATGCTAACTGGTTGATAATATAGACAAAGAACAAGTCTTAAAGACATGTGTGGATTGTATGCTCTTTATGTTGCAGGCCCTCATGGAGAGACTTTAAAATATGACGTTCATTTTAACTCCAACTACTTATTTAGAAAAAGCAGCCGTAGGGTGATGCCCTTCTGATTTAACCTTCTGCCTCTGCCGCGCGCTGCACAGACGCAGCTCACCAGAGTCCATGGAGGCCCGGATCCTGCTGGACTGAGCTCGCACTTTTTTTGGGCAATAATAAACTCAGAAGTCACCATGTGGCTGTGCAAGCAAGGACAGCCTCAGTAGATGGCTCATTATTTGATGGTGCTCTAAAGTAAAAAAAAAAAAAAAAAATTACTTATTATAGCTCATGATGGTCCAATTAAAAAGGAGATCAATATGTAGATGATGTAGCATTGGAGTCGAACTTGATAAGTGGGAAAATTAGCCGTATTCTAAGAAAACGTTTACACTTAATTTGTTGTATATTGTCTCTTTCTTTCAGGTTATAAGTTAAAATTGTGTTTCAGGGTTTTTCTGCAAACAGAAATCAAGTAAATCAAATAATAGTTATCAAACTGCTTATTTTGTTTGAAAATATAATAAACCTGCTTTTTTAGGTCTTATCATACTTTTCTTTATTGTCACATTAAATTAAAATGTTTATTAAGAATAGCATAAAAAATATTAAATGTAAAAAACGTGCGTTGCTTAATAACTTTCAGTTTTGTTCAATTTTGGCTCCGCCCAGTGGACAAAAGCTTTGTTTAGCCTGAAATAAGACCGCATTTCCCATGAG